CATGCTTCACATTCTAAATAAGAAAGCAATAAATTTTTAGATCGTAGAATATTAATGACATTTTCAGTATTCATTTGACGAATTCCCATCAACAGTTCAAATCTTGTTTGTTGTCTTTTCATTTAAGGGGTAAAAAATATAAAAAATAAATCTGGTCTAATATCTGCTCTAAAAGGGCAGATATTAGACCAGATCCTAAATTTTTTTTAAAAAAATTAAGCATTTTAAGATATCATTATCAGAAACATGTCTGTTTATAAAAAGTTTTAATGATAAAACGGCAAAAAGGCGGTGTTATTAATCGAAAGGGTTGTTTTGTAACCATAAGCATGTACTAGGTTTAAAACAACCTTAGTATTTAAAAAAAATGGTTTTTTCTTAAAGTATCGTTTAAGATTAGCTGTCATTTGAACTTTTTTATGCGGCTTGAAGATGAAAGCGTCACAAAAATTGAAAAAAACCTTAGCATATACAGGACTACAATCGTCAATACATTTAACAATATGAGAAGCGGGATTGTTGTTTAACTGCAATAATATCCGATAAGACCTGGGGCCAGGGAATTATATTCCAGATTGACGAATCGTTGTTTTGTCATAAGAGAAAACATAATCGCGAGAGAATAGAAAATCATCAGCTTTGAGTACTTGGGATCGTTGGCTTGGTTTTAAACCTGCCAAAACGTATATAGAGATGGTTGAAATTGACCAGCATTTTTTTTCCCGATTATTGAGCGTATCTGTAGATCCAAAACAATAGTACACAGTAATGAGCAGGCGGCCTACCTTAATATATACACGACATTGAGATTTCAATATTTAACTGCAAGCCATTCTATTAATTTTATAAATCCCGAGAAGGACACACACACGTAACATAGTTAGTCATATTAGGCCTAACAAAAATTTAAAATTTAAAATGAAAGGCCTACAAAGAACTGATCTTGAGTTGTTTTTATCTGAATGTGTGTGGAAAGATCAAAAAAGAGAACACTTTTTAGTTCGGTTAGTAGGTTTAATTAGAAGTGGCTAAATAAAAATTTAAGTTATATCTATTTTTTTGTTTGCGTACTGTATTATTGTAATTTCAAAATTGTTAAAGTGACACAGACATATCAAAACTCAGTGATATATAACTGACGTGGTCTCACTTTTCAATCACCTTGTCTAAATCTAGAAATCTGCCTTTTTATACTTATCACATCCTTTAATGTTTTCCCGCTTTGCAATCCTCACTACCTGTCCTTTAGCAAAGCTTTCCCTATATCATCTTTTAAACCTTCTCAAATGTTTCTCTTACGGGCATTTTCAGTCATAACCATACCCGAATCGTTCTTCGTTGCTTCCACCGGAGCACATCCAATTCTTGAATGAAAACCATTATTATATTTCTCTATGATTTCTGCTAACTTTTTGACAAAATTGTTTCTTTTGCTTTTTAGTATACCCTTTTCAGTTATTATAATTATCCTCTGTACTCTATTATTACAATTATGTGATTCAATACTTATAAACCGATGCATTAATTCCAAGTTGTTACAAAACTCTCTTTACTTTTCGCTTCTAAATTCACGTCTATTGTCAGTTATGATTTCTTCTGGTTTATTTCCCCGTTGACATAATTTTTTCAGGAAATATACAACGCCTGCAACACTCTTTTTTTCGAGCAATCTTTGTCCACATTTGTCGGGCGAAATAATCGATAGCCATCACTACATACACACCTTCACTTCTAAATTCTATAAGATAAATACCCGCTTGCTCAAAATATCTAATAGTACTTATAAAATCGTATTTTTCACTTGTTTTTTTTGTACTTCTGGAATATTTCATACTTTCTAATTCCCTCTTCAATATTTTTTTTGCCCACCCAGTAATAATTTTTCCCAACTTTATAATAAACCGTTGTACTACCCCCACGACTTAAGTTCTTATTACAACGTTTTATAGATTTTATTCTCTCGTTCTCTGGCGAAATTTCTCGTAAAATTTTAATATCAAAAGTCCAATGTTTCTTTCCTTCTCGTTCTTTGATGTGCTTTGTTTCCTTGCCCTCTTTTAGTTTCTCCTTACGTGATTCAATCATTCTCTTCTTTATTTCCTCTTCATGTGTGTAGCCGGGCTCAGAGTATCTGCTACTACCATTTTCTCCGGATTACTATACTCAATACTAAAATAAAGCTCCTATATTTCCTCGATCTACCTACTAATTTGACTCTTCTTAAAATCCGCCCTATTTCTAATTTCTACAAATGCTTTGTGACCTGTTTCAATCTCAAACCGTCTTCCTTGTAACTCGTACTCATATTTTTTTTACGGCCCAAAACATCGTATACATCTTCTTTTCTGAAATTACGTGCCTGGTTTTCGTTGGTGTAAATTTATTAGATGTCACTGTATAGGTACACAATTGCCTTGTTTGTCCTTTTTCAGTAAAACAGAACCCCTTTACAGTGTTGCTAGCATCTGTTCTAAGTAAAAATTCCTTATCATATTCTGCTATTTTTAAACATCTTAAGTGTTCGTAAAATCTTTTTCATATTTTCGAATTTAACCGACATCACTTTAGTTCATTTTCATTTTTTCATCTCATTTTAAGTTATCCGTCAAGTGTATATTCAACCTCGCATAATCCCCTATGAAATCTCAAACCGTCCCGTTAACCCCACGAATCTCCTTGCGTCTGTGACATATTCTTGTTGAGGGAAATCTAATGCTTAATTTGTTTTTATTTCAGGCAGCTTTATCCCCTTCCCATTTAACGTAACTTCTAAAAGCTTAACTTCTGTCTGCACAAACTGGGCCCCACTTATGTTTAGTTTCATATTACTCTCGCCCAATCTTTCGAGTACCTCTTTAACTAAGAAATCATTTTCTTCTCTACTATGACCATATGTCACAATGACATTCATATAAATATCTATAGATTTCCCTCCGAGGTCTTAAAAATTTTGTCCATTATACGCGGCAATATCTGTGGGGATTTTTTATACCCCATAACCATACTGTTCCATTCGTAGACCCTGCCGTATAATTCAAAGGCTGTTTTGTGTTTATCCTGTTCCTCAATCTTCACATTATGTAACCCATCTTTAAGATCAAAAACCGTCATTATATCTGTACCTCGTGTCTCTCTGACGATATCTCTAATATTTGCTTGTCTATATTCATCTTTCTCCACCATGTTATCAAGCGCCATTAAACTACTTAAAAGACGTAATATCTCCATTGGGCTTTTCAATTGATCTGGCTGGGTTCCGCCACTCGGAAGTACACGATCTAGTTACCTTCCTTTTTTTCTAATTAGTTCAAATATAATGTTGTCTTTTTATTAAGGCTTGTGGAACAATCTGGCCTCTTTTTATTATCTTACTTCCTGGTTCGGTCACTATCTTACACTTTTCTAATTTACAATATTTAATTTTGCCTTCTCCACTAAGCACTTCCTTATATTTCTCCTCCATTGCCTTTATTGTTAATTTACGTCTTTTCCGATCTATCAAATAAACATTGTTCTTTCTCCGTTCATTTATTTACATCCTTCCTTCATTAGGACCATGCCTATATTCCTTTTCCGGACTCAAGTTCAAACATAAAAATTAAAATCCTCATAATTCTTAAAATTATCTTTATTCAAATAACTTTCCTTAACCCTTCTCTGATAGCTTTCCCGCCTATATGTTCAATCTTATTTAAATAAAAACAAACAGCTTCCCTTCTTTCACTAGACCCAATACTAGCGCTTTTCAAAGTATCACTCGCCGCCTCTGCTACTACTTCCATTACCACCCCCTTCTCCCCTTCTTACCATTCCTTCTTTTTCTTTTGCTTATACATATCAACCGACTTATTCCTTAATTCTTCTACATCCTCCTTTTTTCAATTTCTTACAATAAAAAATTGAAATTCTTCAGTACCACTTTTTAATATTTTCTTTTTTAAACCATCTTTAACAACACCCCAAATCCAATGAAAACAAAATAATATTCAATTCATTTAAAATTCTTCCAGCCTCTTGACTGCAGTTATCACTTGATAACTTTCTTTTTTGTATCGGTCCCCCTTTCTATAATTGGGGGTTTATTTAATAACAATATATAACATCTGATGTTATTTTTGACAAAGAAAACATGTGATCCGAAATATTTATAAAAGAACCGGCTTTGTGCATTCTCTATTTGAATTTTCTTAATTTCGTAAATTATAAGAGTGGAACTCATACTCAACGTAAAGAATCTTATTAGTATAACAAAAAAAATTTAGAAAAGTGAATGAAAAATTATAAACAGCTTTAAGTAATTATTTAGATGAACAAGTGTAAAAAGACAATTATTGCGAAAACTTATTGTTGCGTTCATTTTGTTTAATAAAAGCTTAATTATGTAAATAAACCGTTTTTTTTCAACATCTTAACACACACATCTCAGTTTTTTAATTTTTATGTTAATTCTGGAAAAATGTAACGTGCATGATTCGAAATAATATTAATGACAACAATAAGAAGAAATGGGGCCTTCCTCTAAACAGCTTGGTTTTTTATTTAAAAAAGGTTTTTGTTTTTTTAAAAAAACCGACCTATTCAATATAATCAGCACTTTTAGAATATCTTTTTCATTTCGCCCCCCTGTAACCGAAAATTGCCCGATTTTGGGTCATTTGGCCTCTTTTGGTATTTCATCAAAAACTTCCAGGGGAGTAAAAGAATTAAAAATTTTATCTTGGGGCCGTAAACACCCTCAAAGGTATAGTCCTGTTTAGGGCCCGCACATATTTACATATTGTCACGCGTCGAATGCGCGACCATATTTTAAAATTTATGCATAAGAATATTGTTTGCATGAATAAGGATATGCTTATGGCGTTCTGTCAAATATATCAGATTTAATATATTTTACAAAAACATTTTTAAAAAATTTTTATAAGTAAACTCATGTTTTTATCCAACATTGTTTTTATTTTTTCCATTCTGCTATCGTAATGACGCACAATTTTATTTGTATTTTAATTTAATATACGCATTGCACATTTTTTAATTAGAGCGAGAATAATTAATCTTTTAAAATACAATCAAATATGTTAATTGAATTTTTAATTTATTTTAAATTTGCGGTATTCACCACATTTTTTTAAATTTCCCTCTAAAAATTTTAATAAATAACAAAATTAAAAAGAAGGAATAAAAAAGCAAGTAATAAAACAATAAGAAGCTTAGTACAATAAAAGAAACACCAACAACAACTTTAGCGGTAAAAGTGGTCTTTTAAAGCCAATAACAATAAAATATAAAAAAAGATTATTTATTAGTTCTTATATTGAATAACATTTAAAATTTACCCACTTTTGCTCAGAGGTTACAGCAATAATATATTAAAAAATTTTTAAAAATGACATTTAAAGTAATAACATTTTTTAGACTGAAAACACCTTGTTTTGCCAAAAATAAAAGCCGTGAATTTTTTTCAAAAAATGACGTTAAAAATGAAATTTAAAATGCAAACAGAAAAATTTAACCCAATTGCTGATTTATCAAATTATGGCTGTTTTACAACCTAGGAGGTCATATAAAGGACTTATTTTTTAAAAAAATACCTTAAAATGAATGACAAAACAATTTTGGAAGAAATAATTAAAATTAATGAAATTGATGTTTTGGCTTTATTATGTCAATTGAGGATAATTGCTGTCGCGAGCCTAGCTGGTTTTGTCTGTATTATATTTTAAAACAAGCCTAGGCCAGCAGGGTATACATCGCTGGGGCCTTAATATGTAATTGTTAAATATAAATTGAATACAAAAATATGCGCTTTGTTGCACTATTGGTTGCGTTGTTAACTTTGTAAGCTTTTGTTATATTTAAATTCAATTCTTGCTTAATTAAGCAGAAGAAACATGTAATTAAGGTTTGTTTTTTAAATGTAAAACTTATTATACAAATTTTCATTGACACAAGATAAAAAAATTATAGATCACCGGCATTTTTTATTTATAATTTTTTTTTCTACACCCCCATGAATCTAGATGCATTTAAAACAAATTTGATTAAAATGACTGCATCTGGACTTATATTATATCTAAAGCAAAATAATTTACTGATTGGTGGTCGCGTATGTATAGCCTGTTCACTAATGTGCAAGGAGGCATTTTATAGTAAGGTAAAAGACAAACTTGCTTGGCATTGTGGCAATGTCTATTGTGTAAAATAAAAAAAGATAATTTCAATAAGAAAGGATGTTTTTTCGAACACTATAACATTTCAATTATTTTTATTATTAAAGTACTACTGCGATGGTCCTGTAACCAGCCCTAGCATTCAATTGAAAGTAATTTAGGAATAAATCGAAGAACTTTTAAAAAAATTATTGATAATTTTGTAGATTTGGTTGACACCAAGGATCAACGTACTAATAAGTTGTGAAAACCTGGTAAAATGATTCAGATTGATGAAGCGGGGCTTAATTTTAAAATCAAAAGCCACATAGAAAGAGCACCATTAAATAAAACAGATGCTTTGTGTATAGTTGAGGTGGAGACGGCAATATCTATGGCATTCGCTTGTGTTATTGAAAACAAAAAGGCGAGTACAATCATACCTATAATTTGTGATAATGTCGAAAATGGTAGTATTATATACACTGATGAACATAGGTCATATAGTTCTTTAAATAATCTGGGTTTTTTTCATGGCATTGTTTGTCATAAATACGAGTTTGTTAATTCTGAATCTGGTGTAAACACTCAAGCAGTCGAATCTTTTAATAATGAATTAAATTTATCTATAAAACGTAGTAAAGGTGTTATAACATGTAAACGTCCTGGGTTCTTAAGGGAATTTTGCTGGAAGTTCAATAATAAAGAAATGCGGTTTTTAAAAATATGGCATTTATTAAAGATCAATTACTTTAAATAAGTTTTTAGTTGTATATATTAGTTCTACAATCCAAATAAACAATTCCTTAAAATTTTTAATAAAAGCATAAAAGCTATTTTATAATTTAAATAAAAAAGTCAAAAAACATTTTACCTTCCTGAGGGGAGGGGGAAGTGTTGGTGTAAATGCTTGGGGAGAAAAAGTGCCGGTGATTCAGAATAGCTATTTAAGAAACAAAAATTTTAAAACAATGAAAGAATTTAAGAAACAAACACCAGAAAACTTTAATAAACAGAACCACGAACAAAAAATTAATCGGCGTGGAAAAACTAAAATCAATAAACTAGTTAGAATTAACATTTTAGAAAACTATTTTCAAAATGGTTACCTCAAAATGATTTATATTTTTCTAAACTCATGATTTGAGTTTTGTCACGGGTTGCACCAAAAAGTGTGGCTTACAAAATTTTTATTTTTTACCCTTAAAAATGAAATTTTGAATGTTTAGAAAGAAATAACTCAAAAGATTGATTTTAGATAAATTTTATATAGTTTATGGAAATATTTGTATTTACTGTAAGGAAGCAGTTTAATATGTTAGAAGAAACAAATATGAGTTTATAAGATGTAATAGTGAATTTTGCAAACTTTACAGAAAGTAAATTAATTTTTGGAAGTATTCAATTTTCTCAAATACTAAAATAATAAAAATAAAAAGTTTTGAGAATAATAGAACCGTAGCTTATTAAAGCAGCTAATGGTGTGATAAAATATATTTTAAGGATAAATAAAAACACAGTTTATCAAATTTTAAAAAAACTGTCAAAAATATTAGTTGATAAATTTTACAGTTATAAAAATTATATTGGAAATTCTGATGAAATTATAGAAATAGATGAATCAAAAATATAAAAAAGGAAATACAATAAAGGACATCCAGTTGACGACGTATGGATATTTGGTTTAGTTTAAAGAGGAAAAAACAAAAAAGGTTTATTATTTCAAGAAGATGATAGGACCAAATCTACACTTCAATTAAAAATCAGAAATTCGGTAAAAAAGGTACAACAATTTACAGCGATTGTTAGAAAGGCTATAATAGCTTAAATTAATGTGGACATGTTCACAAAACTGTTAATCACAGCAAATGGCTTAAAGACTTGGCCACTGGACTTTACATAAATACTATTGAAGGAACACGATCTGGTTTAAAGGCTTATAACCTTTTAGATGTAGAACCAAAAAGCTTATTAATTCATGTATAATAAGATACATGCCAATTAACAATTATAAAGATAATCTATTAATAACTTGTCTGAAACCTTTATTAAATCGTCTTCAATAAATGTTATTTATTCGGAGTTTTTTACTAAAAAGTATTCGTTTAAAGCATCAAAATTAAAATTCAAGTTTTTGAGTTCTTTCTTTCTAAATATTTGAAATTTCATTTTTAAGGGTAAAAAATAAAAATTTTGTAGACCCCATTTTTTGGTGCAACTCGTATTCTTTACCTTTCATGGTTACCCCTCTTGGGAATATTTTTCTTAAATAATTTTTTTTTACTCTTGCGGGCCGTCAATGGAATATCTCCGGGGGATGTTCTGTGTTTTAGATTGAGCTCTATTAGTTTCTTATTCAATATTTAATTTTTAATTAATGTTTTTTTATTGTTTATATTCTGATTTCATTTTAAAATTTATACCCCTAAACAAAAAATATCAAATTTTGGAGGTAAAATTAATAGAACTTTGTTACTTAAGATTCTTGTCATGAATTGGGTCATGACGGTCAAACGAATACATTTGTTCTGTAAATTGTTTTCTGCACTATTTAGGTTGTCTGAATTTCTTTATGTTTGCTTAAAGTAATTTAATTAATTCCCCCCCTTGACAGGTCCAATGATTACTCGGCCCGAGGGATTCTAATTATCGGTAATGGTTCATCTATTGACGGTTTGTTTAATTAATTTTTCTTTTTATATTTTTATTTTTTAGTATAAGCATTACACATGACACGCAATGATATTGATAAAGAATAAATTAAAAATAAACAAAGAAAACAAATAATAATGGTCTGGTAATGGTAGATATTACTACAGAAATAAATATTAAATACTGTGTTTTCAGAAAGAACTGTTATTAGAAAACATAGGTTTATTTAAAATTTTAAATATATGTTTTCCCTGTCAAATATCTTTTCATATATTATCATCAAGATATTTGACACGCCATTATGCTCCCAACAAACATTTTCACATAAATATCTACTAAAAAAGGCTGTGCATCAAAATGCTTGGAAAATTTTATAATTTAAAAAAAATATAAAATTTTTGACATATAAAATAAATCTTGTTTATTTTACTTATTTCTTGCTATATTTAGAAACAAAAAAATAAGAAAAAATTATTATGATTTTTGATATACATCAAATTTTTTAATTTATTTAAATATTTAAGAATGAATTTGCCCTTAAAAATGGTTATATTTTTTTTAAAAATTGTATTATGTATTAATACAGTTTTAGTACCTAGCGAAGAACAAGTTTACTCAAATTTTATTGAACAGGTATACAATATGATTAATAAAGATTTAAATCGTAAGAATTATTTTTTATGTAATTTTGAATTGGATACTGCATTTACTTTAATCTCTGTTAGTAAGCATAGAGTAAACATAAATTTTAGAAATGTTTATTTTAATACAGCAGAAGATT